CGCCAGCCCCACGGCCTCAGCCCGTCCCAATCCCACGGGATATCGGCCACATCCCTCACCCCTGCCCGTCTGTGGGGGGCTGCAGCTCCAGGACGGCCCCCAGCCCCCAGGCATAGACACTGATGGCAGCCTGGGCGTCGGGCACGGCGATTTCCATCGCCTCCTCCACCATCCTGGAAGCCGGGAGAGGCAAGAGGCAGAGAGGAGGGTCACATCCACCTCCTCCTGCACGCCCAGGCCCCATGCCCTGTGCTCTTTGGCCAGCCCCATGCTCAGTGCTGGGGTCCCACCAGGTACCTACAGGCCCAGGGGTGCAACATCCAGCACTTGCAGGGCTCGGCCGTCGGGACGGAGCAGGTCCCGGGCTGTGTCGGGGGCACAGACCTGGAATGAGGCTGCGTGAGGAGGCTGTGCAGGAAGAAGGGGCTGCTGGCACACACCAGCTCACTGGTGGCTGTGCCCAAGTAAGGGCTGGGAAGGGAGAGATCTCGGGGTCCCTTCCAGCCTTTCTAGCTCCAGGGCCAGGGAAAGGCAGAGCCCTGGGAATGCCAGAGCCCTGTGTGCAGCTGGCAGGTCCCTGGCAGCATCCTAGGGCCTCAGGGCAGTGCCCAGCGGGGACAGGAGCTGGCACATCAGATGGCACAACAGGGCATCTCTGCCAACCCAGCACAGGCTGGAGGGACCTGCAGGCCACGGAGAGCAGTGGCTGGCAGAAGAGTCCAGGCACAGGTGGGCAGGGGGTGTCAGAGAGCTCCCCTTTCCCACCGTGCTGCAGAAGCCTAGAAGATGCCCCATGGGCAGCCCAGGCTTCCCATGTCTGGGAAGTCCTGCAGAGAGGTGAGAAAACCTGGGATCCAAAAGTCTCCAGCCCCTGGTCACCCTCCAGTGCAGGGGACCAGGTGCCAGTGCTGGGGCAATACGTGTCCCTTGGCACAGAAGGGTCTGGCAGAGGGGGACAGGACCCTCACCCCAGGCACCCCAGCAGTGCCCCTGCCCTACCTGCACCAGGCTGACCGTGTGCAGGCACAGGGCATCAGCCCCCACGGCCTCCAGCTCTTGGAAGACAGTGTCGATCACCTGGGGACGAGCTGGTCAAGCTGAGAGCCCCTGGTTCTTGGCCCCCAGGGCTGGGTCTCACACCCGTACCAGCAGGGCTGGGGTCAGCTGAATGGCCCAGGAGCCCAGCACTATGCAGTGGCACTGTCACCTCCCCCTGTCACCTCTCCCCTGCCATGCCCTGTGCCCTCACCTGCCAGATGATGCTCTGGAATGGGAGCTGAGTCCCAGGGCCATGAGGGTCCCACAGCAGCAGGGACACGCTGTAGCCAAGGGGAAGCAGGGCCAGCTGGGGTCTTGCCAACTCCAGGACCTTTTCCTGGCAGGAGAGATGGAGTCAGCAGAGCAAGGATGGTGTGGCACAGCCAGCATGGCCTGGCACAGACAGCCCAGTGCAGGTGGCCCAGCACAGAGGGCATTGGCACGGGTCAGAGAGCACGACACAGGTGGGATGGCACGGGTAGCCTGGCACAGATAGCCCAGGATGGATGGCACAGTTCACATATGGCACGGATGGGATGGGTGGCATGGATGTCATGGTACGGGGGGCACAGGCACAGACAACATGGCACAGCACAGCAGCCACGTCCCAGTGCCCAGGAGGAAACAGAGAAGGGGTGAGAGACACCAGCAAAGCCACACACAGGGCCAAGCCCCATGTCCCCATCCCTGACTGCCACACCTGAGGAGCTGGCAGTGGTGCCCAGTGCCTTTGGGACCACAGCTGGGTGCCCCAGCCCACAGCTTGGGCCAGCGTGTCCCTGGCTCTTTGGCTGGGGACAGAGGTGCAGAAGAAGGTCTTGGACCCACAGTACCTGCCCTGTGTCCAAGTGGAAGATGCCATCGACAGTCAAGCAGCTGTCCTGGCTCAGGAAAAGGAGGGAGGGTGATAAGGTGCAGGTTTTTCTCCATCACAGTCCGACCAGTGCAGGCTAAAGGAGGGACTGGGCACACTGGGAGATCCCCTCCCTTCCCCTGCTACCAGGTAGCCCCCAGGAGCTCCCCACCAGAGAGGCCTGAGGGGCTGTAGGGCAGGGTGAGCCCAAGATCTCAGCACCCATCTGGGTCCTGAGCACGGCAGGTGGCTGGGACAGGGCTCCCTGCTCCTGCCTGGTCCCCTGGGGACCCTCATGCCCTTAATGCCCATGTCCCTGCCCCTCTCACCTGAGCTTCCTTCCCAGCCAAGAGCAGCTGCAGGGGGTCTTCACTGCTGGCCACCCAGCCTGGCCCTGGGAACACCGAGTGAGGGGTGGTGCAGGGGTCACCCCCCAGCCTGGGGCCAAGTGCTGGGTCTCCACATCATCCCTTAGCCCTCCTGCTGTGACCAGGGTCCTCAGAGCCCCCAGAATGGGGAGACACCCCCTCCCCATCCCCATGCCCAAGCCAAGCCCCCCCAGCATGGCCAGCAGTCCCAGGGCCACCACGGCTGTGGCTGCCACCCTAGCCCAGTTCCCAGACATAGGGGCAAATGTCCCCAGCCCCAGCTGTACCTGCTGCCTGGTGGATTGCCACTGCTGTTCGTACCCACACATCCTGCCCGGCCTGCAGGGACACCAAGCAGAGCAGGGATGAGCTGGGTCCTGCCCCACGCACCCAGCACCTGCCAGGAGCTGGATGAAGCCCAGGGAGCTGGGCAGTTCCTGGCTGTGCCACACCAAAACAGGGGACAGAGCCCTCCAAACCACCCTGTGATGTCCCCCCGTGGTGGCACTCACCTGCCCAGCGTCCATGGCAGCCCCTGAGCTGCTGCTGGGACAGGGCAGGGGATGGGGTTACAGGGGGGGTGGAGGGATTGTGTTTCTCTGCATTATTAACAAGTGTTGGGCAGGAGTCCAGCCTGGAGGCTCCATCCTCCTGGCCAAGGAGTCAGCTGGGTCATGGGAGGCAGGTGGGTGCTGGGACCCACTCACACCACTGGCATGCTCCTGGCTCCAAGAGGGACACCTGTTCAAGCTGGGGATGGGAGATGAGGGACCTTGGATGATTGTGAAGGTTCTTCTAGAAACCAGAGGCAACTACAAACCACAGAATCACAGCTACTGGAGATCAGTCAGGGCAGGAAAGCACAAAAGGAAATGTTGAAGCTGAGGACCTGTGTGGTATATAGAAATGCAGCCTGTGGGAGACAGGAGGGAGGTCCTAGGACATCCCCTGCCCCTTGCCCTTGGGCAGGAGGAGGAGATGCACTTGTGTCCCTGAGTCTGCCAGCAGTGCAGAGGGAGGTCACAGGCTGCCCCTGCCCCCCTCAGCCCCTGCCTGCACAGGCCTCAGGTGTGGCTGTGACCCCAGGCTGGCCATGACCCCCCGTGGCAGGTGGGGCAGAGCTGGGTGTGCTCAGGGAAAGCAAATCCCAGGATCCACGGGGATTTCACCTTCCTCATCCCTAAGGTGGCACTTGCTGCTCCCCAGGGCGCACACAGACCCACACGGGCACCCATCTCACCACCAGCATCCCAGGGAGGAACGGGTGCCCCATCCCTCCCCTCCAGCTGCTCAGGGTGGGAGCAGGAGGGTGGCACAACCCGTGTGCCCCCAGACACCCAGCAGACCCCCCAGCCCATCAGGGGTCCCAGGCTGGACCCCGGGCTCTGCCTCACCAGGGAGGGATCTTCACCCATTGAGGTCCTGGGCAAAACAGACTCAACTTGGGGAAAAATAATACTTTAATTTCTCACTAATCAAACCCCCCCAGGACACAGACACCCCCAGAGCAGGGCTTACACAGGGAGTAATGATAAATAGGAAATGTTGGCAAACTCCTTATAATCAAAGTTACTGTGCTTCGCTGAAGTACAACAGTACCACTGTCATGCACTGAATACTGCTGAAAGCTTTCACTGTCTTTTCCTGCTTTCTTCTATAGACATTCAAATTCCCTATCATGTCATTCACTGCCTACAAGCTTTATTAATTTTACTTGTTCTTTATTTGCAATGGTCTTGTTCTGGACTAAATTATCTTTTCTTTGACCAGCTCTGCTGTATCTTCCATTTTTACCTGTCCCACATTAACTTGTGTGAGACTTTACTGGGATAAGAGCAGCTAAAGGGGCTTTGGCTTCTGTGTTGTCTTGCCCCTCACTGCCCTAATCTAGGAATATACATGAAGACTCCTTTTTTTTCTGCACTGGTAAAGATGAAACTCCAAAAGAAGAACTATTTATACTACTTGCATTAGAGTGACGAACTTCAGCTTCCCTTTCAAACAGAAGGTGTGAATGTTTATGTGGGAATGAAGAAGCTGCTATTCAGCCCAAGAAATGAAATAGTGAAGCTAGTACTAACAAAACTGTTTACTGATGGTGACATAGTACAGGAAAAGCCCATGAGTAATTTATTTTTATTGACCTGGCAATCAAGATATTGAGAAAAAACTTTTTTTTTTTTTTTTTTTTTTTTAAGAGTATTCTTGGATGGCTTTCAGTTACAAACTTCATCATCTGACGTGGAAGTAGAAGGGGCTGAAGCCTATCCCCCCATTCTCTAATTTCTGCTTCTGACATCCTTGTGGAGGTTGCTTCTCAAAACACTTCTCTTCTGCTTTTGGCTGTTGTAAGATTTGTTTGTGGATGCATAGCATTCACCTCCACCCCTGACCCCTATGAATTTGGCTCCCCGTTGGAGCCCTGGCAGCTGGCTACCTGTCAGAGATTTAATGGAAGGATCCTGCCGTCATCCATTTCAAACTCTCTGAGCAGGAAAACGAGACGGGGGTTTCATATTTCAAAGAACAACAGAACTCATGGATGGTTTTTAAAATTGAGACTCAGGCTGCAGGAGTCATTAAATATAATTCTGCTTTGCTTCTAGACTGTGAAATCAAACAGCACAGGCAATAGGAGGAATATTTGCTCACTTATGGTACATGTGCAATTTTTGCAGATTGGTTGGCTTCACTCTGCAACTTACTATAAAAAAGACATAAAAATATCATTGACGTGTCTGGTATTGTGCTGAAAAAATCCCATGCTAAAATATGTTGGTGAGCTTTTTCTTCATTGATATTCAGACTCTAAAACTTTTTTTTTTTTTTTCTGAGACTGTTGATAGTTCATCGGAGAGACTGCACAGCTTGAAAACAATCTTGTTTTTGACTAAGTGAACAATATTTTATTTGAAAGATCTGGTATGAAAAGAATTAATTTTCACCATTGTCCAGACTGGTAATGAAAAAGCCATAAATGTTTGGAATTATTTAGAAGACTCCAAGACCATACTCCAAAAATCTTGGCTCCATGCTCACCACAAAAGCCAAGTTTTCACTAAATTCACAAAATTAAACTCGGGACATTGTCTTTCACTTTATGATTGAAAAAAATATTACAAAATACCCCTGCTCTACTCATGACCTATAAAAGGGAAACTGTTTTTATCCAGTTCAGCACATCTAACCTTCACAAAACACAAACTCCAAAATATGGAATCAGCCATCTTAAATACAACAGTGTACACCCAAACTGAAATTCAAGTTATTGGGTTTTTTTAGGATGCCTAACCAGAAGGACACATGCACATGTAATCTTTTGTTATGGTCTCTGGACGATGCTGATTTGTTCCAGTAAGAAATGTGGAGTATTTGAGTACAATTTCATTACTTAAGCAAAAGGCTCATTGTTAATGGAGATTAATGTGTTGCATTTAAGGAGTTAATTTCACAATTATACCATTTACATGCCACTGGTAGCTGAAGAAAGAAAGGCTGGTTTACTAATGCAAAATACCAAAAGAATTTCTGATACTTCCCCCGCAGGTGCCCCAGGAGCTTCAGCTCAGCCCAGGGCAGCTCCGCGATGGAGTTGTTGTTGAGGTGCAGGGTGTCCAGCGAGGGGCAGTTCCCGACGGGGGGGGCAGCCCGCAGCAGGTTATGGCTCAGGAACAGCTTCTTCAGGGAGCTGAGGGAGATGTCGACGGCGAGGAGGTGGTTGCAGCTCAAATCCAGCACTTCCAGGCGGGGGGGCAGAGGGGTGAGAACCTCAGCCAAGGCAGTGTTGGACAAGTTGAAAATCCGGAGGGATATTGGCCACCGGCAGGAGGAGGACGGGGCTGCCACGAGCGTGTTCTGGCTGAGATCAAGGTGCTGCAGCTCGGGCAGCTGCTGCAGGCTTTCACACACCCTGTGCTGGGATGTCAGGTTGTTGCTTTGCAGAATGAGTACCCGGAGCTGCGGGAAAGCCCCCCGGCAGAAGGCAGGCGTCAGGCTCTCATCCCCAAGGCTGTTCTGTGCCATGTCCAGGGAGCGCAGGGCTCTGAGCTCCCTCCCGATGGCACAGGGCAGGCTGGTGACCCGGGAGCCAGTGCCTGCCAGCTCCTGCAGGGTGTCCAGCCAGCTGCTCAGGCTGGAGAAGTCCTGCTCACGGCCCTCCAGGGGGGCAGCTGTCACATTGTGGAAGTGCAGCGACAATATGGGCAAGCTCTGGCCGGCCATGTCCTCCCAGTTGCCTCTCCCCTTGAAGGTGCAGCTCTCAAACACCAGCTCCTGCACTTGGGTGTAGGAGAAGAACCTCAGGACCCGAGCGAGGAGTATCTCAGGCACGAGGAGATCAGCAAAAACTATTTTCCTGATGACAAGGGAGCCCAGCATGTCGATGGTGGAAGAATCCAGGCCGGTGATGGGGAAGGCTGCGTATCTCTCCAGCTCTCCCCCCCGGAATTCCACGACAGAGGCTGCGAGGCACTGGATGACGCTGCCTGCAGTTTGCTGGGTCAGGTTGTAGCACACGCAGCGCTCCTCGGTGCGGTTGAAGAAACACCTGCCTTCCACTCCCAACAGCCCCAGCAGGAGAACAGCCACACTCCCGGCCAGCCACCTAGAAACGAGGAGAGCAGCGCTGACAGGCAGCGCCCTGGTGGCAGCTGCGGGAACCGCGTGGATCCCGGGGGCTGCGGGGCTGGCGTGGGCAGGTCCAGCCCCAGGGGCCACCCCTCAGGACACAGCGCTGCCCCCATCCCTCCTGCCCAACTGCCCTTTAGCCCTGGCCCAGCACCCCGGCTCTGCACCCTGTGACTCAGGCACAGCTCAAACAACCGGTGAATAATGACCAGGGCAAGGGGAAATGGCCTGAAGCTGCACCAGGGCAGGTTTAGGCTGGGTATTAGAAAGAATTTCTTTACCAAAGGAGTGGTTGGGCAGTGGAACAGGCAGGCCAGAGAGGAGGTGGAGGCACCACACCTGGAAGTATTTTAAAGAAATGTAGATGTGGTGCTTAGTGACATGATTTAAGCCCTGAGTGGGTAAATCACGTTATAGCAGGGGGATTCAGGTTGTGGTTGGACTTGATGATCCTCAAGGTCCCTTCCAACCAGGATGATTCTATGAAACACCTGAGAGCTCCACCTGAGCCACAGGCTCCTCGGGAGGGAGTTGGTGGCTCTGCTCTCACCCCACCCCAGGAGCAGGGCCAGGCTCTGTGCTCCTCTGCCCGGGCTGCCCTGCTGCAGGATCCTGTTCTGAAGAGGAAATGCTGAGGATCAGGGGAAACTAAAAATGCTGAGTGACAGACAGGAAGATGTACCAGCCGACCACAGGATGGGAGAACCTCGGCTCTCTTTTCCTTCTCTGCATGGTGCTCTGCAATCTGGGGCAGGAAATTGCAACAGAGGGCTTCATTTATTTTTTTTTCTGTCCCAGCAACTTGAATCATTACCAGCACCATAAGGGGACAGCAGGAAATAACTTCTGAGGGTCTGTATGAACCCCTGTCAGCACCGAGCCCAGCTCTGCTGCCCAGCTGGCAGGACAGCCCTGTCAACAGGTTGCAGAAAAGCGGAGGGTGAAGATGAAAGGCTCAGAAGAATGTGCTGACTCAGCTCTATGCCAGCACACAGGCACAGCGGTGCCGTGGGGTCTCTGGGGTCTCTGGGGTCTCCAGTCCAACCCCCTGCCCTGCCCCCCCGGCAGGCACAGCCCTTGCCGGCCTCGGCTCAAGCACCCGCGCCCACGGAGCTCTCCCTACCTTGTGGGGGCCATCCCGGGGCTGCAGCAGCAGGGGAAGCTGTGGTGCAGCACCTGCAGAGCTCCCCTCACGGACAGGGCAGCACGAAGCGCCTCGGCTCAAGCACCCGCGCCCACGGAGCTCTCCCTACCTTGTGGGGGCCATCCCGGGGCTGCAGCAGCAGGGGAAGCTGTGGTGCAGCACCTGCCGAGCTCCCCTCACGGACAGGGCAGCACGAAGCAGTGCAGGAGCTGCCCGGTGACTCAGCGGCCGCCGGGTGAGACCTGAGCTCCTGCGGGTGTTTTCCAGCTGCGGCGGTTGCATCTGCAGCCCCGCACTGAGGGGCAGGCGGGGGGGGCACCACGGGCAGGCTCCGGGCGCTGTCCCTGCCCGTCCTCCTGGGCAGGACGGGCTGTGCCGAGGGAACCACGCAGCAACCTCCCGAGTCACTTCTGCTTCACTTCCCTGCAGCAGGAGGATTTTGCAGCTGCCCGCGGGCTGGGAAGGGTTTTGGTCGAGGTACGAGCGCTGCTCACTGTCCTAGGCAGGATGAGGGCAGAGCGTCAGGGTGTCTCTAAATACACTCTCAAGACCAGCCCAAACGTACCTCTGCTTCGAGATGCTCTGGGCTTGCTGTGCCTCAGAGCCCAGTGGGTGCTGAGCACCCTGCAGTGCAGAAGAAGAGGGGACTGTCATACCTGGTACCCAGACCATCCCCAGACACCTGTGTCCCACCTAGGATGGGGATGGAACGAGTTCCCACCCACAATGTGCACAGCCCAGGGCTTCTTGGCACCTCTTCACCCAAGGTTGGCTTCTTTGGCAAGCTGGCTACTGGGCTTGGCCAAGTCACATCACTTGCCCTGTGCTCCCCTGGCAGCTGGTGCTGGTGCCCACACCAAGATGTTCATGCTCTCCACCAGCAAGCAGAGACCACCAAGCATTTGGAAAGGTCTGTCAGGGGTTTTTTTCTTCCCCAGGTATTTCTTTGCCTGTGTCGGATTTCAAAAAGTGTTTCAGAAAGGCAAAGAAACTGCAGGGCTAGAAGGTGCAATTCCCAGTTTCTTGCATTTAATGCAGCATTAGAGAGAGACACCATCAGTGTGACAAGAGCTGGGGCAGGAGCTGCCCCCTGGCACCCCACTGCTGGGATGGGTGGAGGGAAGGTCTCCTTTTGGTCACCATATCTACTGCAGCTCATGCCCTTGCTCCTGGCATCTCAGGTGGAGCCCTGCACTGCTCTGCTGCCTCTCCTTCAGCAGGGTCACCACTCTC